TTCTCATAAATGGTGATCTATAAAATAGGGCATTTTTTCTAATAAAAAATTCAATTCAAAAAAAAAAAAAAAGAAAGACAAGGAAGGGGAAAACAGGATGACTCATAATTGGGAAGGGGGTGACTTGTCACAAGAATCCAAATCCAATGCCTGCTGGCATCACAAGTGGACAAACATTTAGGTGTTTAAAAAGTGCTTGTGGAAATGACACTTACACAAGCTGGTTAGTAGTCCTGGGGCATTCTAACTACTGGAACAACAAGAGGTTTGAGTTTGGACCAGATGGCAGCTTCCCTCACCCTACTAAAGTCCCCCCGGGAGAAGAAAGGGCTGGACATGGAACAGAACGCATTCTGACTTCAGATCAGTGCTCTGAAGACCTTGTTCTCCTTTCATCTTAATTTGCAGTTGCAGAGTCTTGAAGGAAATGAGATACTGCCTTCCCAACCTGTGATAGGAGAGTCTGGACACCATCACTTCTTCTGCTCCCCCAAAGGGTCCTTGCCCTAGTTTGGGTGATCAAAGTCAGGCACCGCCTGGGATCGCTTTCCTCAGCCCACAGCTGTGCCGCAGAACTGGTGTTGGGACATTAAAGGAACAACGAGGGCCGCTTCAGATAAGCACTCACTCTCCTCCTCCCCATGTGAACAGATTGAGCGGATATCAAGAGCCACAGCATGTGAGGGGAGGGTCGCGGGGATGGAAGATAGAGGAGCTGGCTTTTTATCAGCCCTTCAAAGTCCAGCCACTTGATTATGACAGAGTCACCCTGGGCTTCTAATCAATACAGTGAGACAATCAGGCCAGGTCTTCCCGAAGGTGGGCGTTGGACTGATGGTCTCTGCTCCCTCTGAAAATCTGTGAGTCCAAAGGCCACGTGCCCAGAAGGGCACATGTGTTGTCCATGAAAACGCACCCTACCCAGAGATGTGAGACACCCAGATTCAACAGAATGCAGAAACTACTCAGCTTTCCTCCAATGAACACAGCTTTCTCAGACTTTAAAGAAAAAAAAAACAACAAAACATAAATTCTGGGGTATCAGACAATCCTAAATTCAAAGACTATATCCCAACTTGCACTCATGCAAAGTGAATTTTCAGCATTTTCAGATGCTTTCTGGAACCTATCTTTCTCCCAGAAAAGTTCAGTGATACAGCTGAACCTTACTTTATTTTGTGGACATGATGAGACTGCATGGGAAGTGGGAAGTGGGTAGAGAGACTCTACCTCCTGATACTGGAAGAATTTTGAAAGACTTAACTCCACTTGAAGCTAACACTTCAGGTTTTCACCCCTTTGCTGTGGCTACGTCCTTCCTGCTCTTTCCTGTAATGCTATTCTTCCACAGGTATTCTCTCGCTCACCTGACATGGTCCTGTCTGGCATAGGACTTCTTTTGGCTGATAACTCCCCTCCACCCCAATCAATCACATGGAGATCTTGGATCTGTGCAGAAATATAATAATAAATTGACTCTGTCAAATGCTTAAGGATTCTACATTAGGAAAATACCATTCTAGGGTCTCTGTCATGAACAAGTAGTCTATCAAGACCAGAAGGCCCATCTGAAGCTCTGGAAATGTTTTGGTATTCTTCAAACGGGAAATCTCAATAATACTAAGAGGAGACACACTATAATGAAGTTCTCATGCCATAAGTATTTTTTCATTCACCTGTTTTGAAAAATAAATCCTCATAGGAGCCATCCTCTGCTCCACTGTCTTAGCTTTTTTAGGACTTACGTCATAGAAGATGGAAAAACCTTCCTGCACCAGTTCCTTGTTTTTCTAGGTGGAGGATGGCTGCAGGTGGAGAGAAGCCATGTTCACCTGGACTATGGGATGCATTACACAAAACAAGTTTATTCCTCCAGGTTTTCAAGCACCTCTTCTCCCAACCCCACTAAAATGAATGTAAAATAGTGGGCATATGGTTTGTAAACAAAAGAAACTTTATATTACAATACAAAAAATGATGCTGTAGTTGGATCATCAGAACTACTCTTTTGGAAGAAAAGCAGCACAATGAAGAGATGGAGAAGTTCAGAAATCACTTTGCAGGGCACCATCTTGAAAGTCAAAACATTTCTTTCTAAAAGAAAGTGTACATGCAGCCAGGAAGTGTTTATAAATATCATAAAGTGTTCCCGCAGCAAGCATTATATTAGGCATTGATGAAGGAAGCCAACACATCCAAAATATTATTGATCATGAATTTAACTGGGGCAACGGTACCCAAGGTAAAATGTGCAAACATATCAGACTTTTGAGAGAGGCAGATGATCAACAATCTTGCCAGAATTCTATAAACAAAGCTATGATTTACCTCTGAGCAAGGATCTATTATAAGTAATCATCAACAACTGACTTGCTTTGTGAGTGATTTTTCCCTGCGTTGCCCAGTTAATGTTGCAAATCTAACTTGTATCACATATTAGATGGAATGACAGTTTCCCAAATCTGTAGAATCTAAAACAGGAGAGGACAGCATTTTAATCAATGGTTCTGCTGCTCATGTACAACCGTAAACTCCAGTAAGCACATGCTTTCTAAAAATATTTAGGGAGGAAATAAGGACACAGGAAACTCTACAAAATAACCAATTATCCAAAAATGAAGTGAAGCATTGCACATCTATAAAACTTTGTGTATATAATTAACTCTTTGCAACCTGCTGACTTTCTAAGTGGAATTAAATCATAATTAGAATAATCAAAGGGTAGTACATACACACCTACTCATGCACATCTGTAATCCAACTTTTGTTCATGAAAATTTAATTGTATGAAAACTATAAAAATCTGCATTGCTACTTAAATTAAAATTGGGCAGGAGACTGGAGTATTTCTTCCATTAGCTGCCAGTAACTAAATTTTCCCACATGTCTAAGGCTTAGATGGACTGAGCTCTAAGTTCAAATAGCAGTTTCTCAGGGTCTTCCACGCCCTCCCCACCGAGTCCACAGATCATCCCTGCCCAATTACAAGAACTCCGGTAGGACTAGGCTTCCCATTCACAACACCTCTCAAACTGCAGTGAAGGAATTAGCTGTTTAAGTATACACAACAATATACATGTGGGTAAATGTATATCCTTGGTTGTTTAATTGTTTCCCCTACCAGTATAGTAGGAAAGTCCCTGTGTTCTATTCCTTGAATCACATAAAAACTGAATAAATATATGTTGAATGAATAAGTTACAGTCACTGCTTCATCCACCTTAGTCGAAAACTATCACCAAGGAAACCTGGAAGAATTAGGCATTTCTGAAAGCTCTGCAGAAACAATTCAGCTTTTGTCTCTGGGACATCAGTGCCTGCGTCATTCTCTAAGGGAGCCCAGTCATTCCCATGTTCTCTACCCAACACATAGAAATTGATAAGGATATTTTTCCAAATCCCCAATCCTCTCTTTGTACAAACCCACTGGTTGAAGTTAAATTCTTTTGTTATCAATTATTGATACCTTTCATAGAGCCCAGGGAAACAGCTTCTAACTAAAGTGATTTTCAGTAGGATATATACAATGAAATATGCCACATCATAAAAGAAAACAAAATGATTTAAGACAACGTTGCAACATGTCAACTGCAAAAATGTAATTGGCATTTCAATCATATTGGCCACTTGTGGTGTCTCATTTGGGGACATCCCACAAGTGTTTCTAATATTCATGAAATCTGTTCTTTATCAAGATGAGAGGAGGTGGCACCCCACAGGCAGCAAGACTAGAACAGAACCGTGTGCTTCTGATGTGGAGAGTGGTCACTCCCTCTGCAACAGGGAATGGGCTACCGAATCTCAGGGGCTGCCTTAAACAAGAATCAGCCTCCTCCCATCTTCAGGGTTCATGCTACCACCTCATGCCCTTCACTTTCTGCTCCATCTGTCTAATCTCTTCTCTCCATCTCATGCTTTCTACTCACTCACAGCGATACTTCCTCCTGACTTCCTCCTCCTTTCTCTACGGCTCTTCGTTTTCAGTAATCACACCAGTTAGCCAACCAGCTCCATACTGCGAACTCAGGTTCCCCAGGGAGATGTGGACAGGTTCAGTTACCATCCTCCCTGTTGGGTAAAGTTCTTGTGTGGCTCCTGTCAAGGGCTCCTGGGCAGCCTATAGATCAGTCAGGTCACATCCATCTAGTCGCCTGTCACCAGAGTGACTAGATAATGAAAGTTAATTAGGGCCACGTGGCCTTGGATAGCAACCCTTTGGAAAAAGTGGGCTATCTTGATTCAAGAACCAGAAACTAGTTCATTTTAAAAGCAACCTAATCACTAAATTTGGGATGCAGAAAAGTTCCTTATTCTCTCAAGTGGAATAACAGGTGTTCAGATTTTTCTCATTTCTCTATTTTAGTCTACTAGTCCCTTTCATGTTTGCAACTTAAAAAAAAAAATAGTGAAAGCAAAGATCAAAATGCCATGGTATAAATACAAAATCAGTAACTGGGTCCTTTGTTCTAATATTGACTTTTCACCCTTTAAACCCATTTTCTCATTCTATTTTTCATCAGAACTCTGCTGCTCCCAAGTATAAATATAAATGGACAAAGGCCTGAGAATTGTGCTGAGAACTGCAGAAAGTAGTTGAAGTTCACATTTGGACCATATCCAGTTTTCTGCCATCACAAAACTCTATTCAATCCCTCTGCACAGAAGCAGATTACGTAAAGAAAAGAACAAAACTTTCCTTTTATCTACTTTTCAATTTACTATGTATGAGTATTTTTGTAAAAAGTTACTTTGCTAGACTTCTAGTGGTCATGTATGTCTCAATTATCTGTGAAACTGGCTTCACAAGGCTTTAAGTTAATAAAAATATAAGATCACCTTATTCTCGATCTAAATCATTTTAGTGCAGAAAAAAATCTTGCTGAGTTGGTCATTTCTCTGTGGCTTGAGTTCCAAAGAGTAAAATCTATGAGCATAGTGGAGGGAAAAAAACTTTGAGAGAAAAAAAGTAAATTCTTCAAATAAATAAATAAGCTGATTTACCATTTGAAATATTATAAGTATGTTTAATGATTAATAGCATACAAATATTTCATACTTTTGGAATATGAAAAACAGAAAATTCAAGATTAGGAAGAGTATTCTTTGCGCAAGAGCACTAAATGTGTCATCAGCAGACTTTATCAGTTAATAATTAGGAGAATTTAGGCACCATCAAAGAACTGTTACAAAATAACACAATAAAGCTAAGACCCTAGTCTCAGTAGATTTACATGAGGGCAAAGAAAGGAACAAACTCACTTTTTCCAACTATGGGAAAATTAGGGGAAAAAGCAATTATCCTCTATGATAAATGAGCCATTCTGAGTTGGGAAATCAGAGCATCTCCCTGTTTCATGTACCCAGTTTGAGCATTTTCTATTCTTTGCTGCAAGCTGTTTCTTTCATCTTTCAAACACAAGAAAATTAAAGTCGTACTATTGAGGACATATGAGGAAGTCAGTCTTGGAAGCAGTGAACTACAATGATGGATTACTGTAGCACTTTGATATAAAATAAAAAAGAGACTCAGCTTGAAAAAGCATACTATTGTTTTCATTTAAAGCTAAGTTTATGTGTAGGAGGAAGACACATTCTGAACGGCTCACCAAGGTAAGCGGTCTGAGGCCGGCACAGACCTTTGAGGCAATTTGACGTGAGTTGTCACAATAAACCCACACCCAGGGTATTATTAATGAGCACTGCTCTAAGAAACCAAGGTGAGAACTGACAAGTGGAACCATTTTGTTACATCCTGCATTTATTTAAGCAAACCGAATGTGTAGAGATAGGAAATTAAAGCGTTATAACATTTTACAAATACAGAAAGAAGACACAGAATAATAATACCCTGGAGAGAGTGCATCTGAGAACGAGGCTTCATCACAGGAGAACACTCGCAGGGACCACTTGGGAGCCATGGCCGATGCATCCACCTGTAATTCTTGTTCTGACATCGTTCGAATGGTTTCAATAGATAAATCAGCAATCTGCTCTTACATGAATGATAATTCTAATGATCATGGTAGCCTTGAAGGGTTTGTGAGTAACTATACATACACGATGCTCAGCTGAATGTGTTATTTCAGTGCTGCTATACATTATGCGGGGGAAATAACAGCATATTACACAATTACTGTGACATCCACTAAAATGTGAACTAGTTTGCATAGGTTAGTCCTTTGGGCAGCACGATGTTGCTCTAGTCCACCAAGGCTTAAAGATTCACAGTGTAGAGGAAAAAATATGAATTAAAGCATTTCTACTAAAATATATTTTAATAGCTGGTGTTAACAATTTGCATAACAAAAGCCAAATTATATTAATAACGTGTCATTCTGTAAGCTCCTTCATTTTAAAACATGAAGTGTTTTCTATAAAACTGTAAGCTCTCAAAGTTAGTACAATCTTGCAAATTAATCATCAACCACAATTCTACATATTTTGAAGCAAATAGAAACCAATCTGCACAAGGATTCAAGTTCATGTTTTAATCACAGGTCAAAGAGCAAAGATTCCACACCCTGCCTGTAATACACTTGGTGCTACTTATAAATGCTCAGCCGTTCATTGTATGAACACTAAAGAAGGGAACTATGATGTAGTTTTCTCTTTTCCTTTAAAGTAAATCATTCTTAACAGCAACTGGATACAAAGAAGTGTATACTATGCAAATTGAATACCATATATCAAACACAAAAAGCATATGGAATTCCCATGAAGATACTGAAGTAAAAAGGACAACTAGGGCGTAGATTTGCCCCAGGGGTCCTTCCAGGCTTGTGGATCCAGTAGTCTAAGCATCAGGAAATGATGGCCACAGAAGCATCATACAATGTCTTGATTTTCTTGAATCAGTGCTAGTGGATAATTGCCTGGAAAGAACCTTTAATGAGTGTGGAATACTTCAAAAAGAGACTTTCATTTTAGCATTCTTCACTTGGTTTACAGAGCTTCTTAGTAACTAAAGCTTTCTCACCTCCATGTCAAGTTACCACAAACAACCATACTCTAACCACTTTCAGATTATCAGAAGCAAATAGCTAAGGTATAATGGACTTATGAAGTGAATTTCATCTGGTGTAATGAATTCAGCCTCATAACATAATTCTTCTAACTTACAATAGGCATTTTAAATCTCAAACCTAAAGTTTATGTTTATGCATCTCAACCATGTATAAATTCACAAAGAATCTTTCAGAAATAGACTAAAGAAGTTGGTATTTTCTAAAGTTCTAAACCTCTAGAGGTAAAATACAATCAGTTATCACCTTTCCTAACCATCAGGAGCATCTCACTTCCCCACCACAAAAATACCAATAATCATACAATAAAATATTACTATAGAATAGGCAGAAGCTTGCTTGCCTGGTTTTCTTTCCAAGACCATAATGAATAAACAAGGGTAATCAAAAAGGCACTGATATTTTTTATCTCTATATAAGTATAATTTTGGTATAAACTATATCCACTTTATATAGAGGGTGTTATTAAAGGATCACACACAATTTCTTTAATCTTTTCATTAAAAAACATTCCACTGGAGATGGGTAAACCTGAAGAAAAGATGCGCCTCTTAAGTTTCCACTGTGTGTTTAGGGAAATCTTCCCAAATCCCAGAGTGTTGTCAAGCTCAATACAGACAAGATAAGGAAAGAAAGACTGTAGCGAGACTGGCAAAACTATATGTTCACCATCCTCAAGTAATGAACCTGGCGGCAAGAGAGGGGCTGGTCTAATCGCATCCACATTCAGAAAAGGTGCTCCTGGGAACTGTGCTTGCAAATTTCTGTGTGGTCTCTGAGGTGGGGGAAGCCTGAGAAGATGCAGGGACAGTGTGGAGATCTGACAACCGGATAATTATTTCCAAGTGGGCTACACTGTGGATGTGTAAACAATAAAAAGGAGACATGAAGGCGTGCCTTGTCACAGGTTAGAAATAGAAAGCTTTCCCAGAGAACAAGAATTAGTAAAAACACTCACTACAAAAACTTACACCACAAGCGATATATTCGGTTGCTATGCTCTGCTCAAGAGAGATGATCCATCTAAGTTCTGTTTTCGGAACCTTTTAAAAGCGTATCAAACTGCCCTTGTGCTTTTATCAGGTTTGAGAACACATTACAATTAGAAAATCAGGTGCATGCTCTCTGTGCTCGGGCATTTACAGCCCTCTTTAACTTGATTTTTAAAAGACTTGTTTTTTTAAAACCCTTCTTGAGCTGTCATATTATGTAGGATATAACTGTTGCCAAATTGAAAACAAGAGGGGGGACGTGTGGAAAGGGGAAAAGGTGTTCGAGAATGTAGTCTTGAAAATGATGCTGTAAAAATAGCACTTTGGTTTTATACATATATTTTTTTCTGTATTTCTGCTGAGATGCTTAATATCCTGACAGGCTTTAATAACAGTGACAACACCATCAAATTATAGCATCAGGAGCGGGTGCAACTTGTTGTCCCTCAGTCTTTATTGTAAAATAACTGCCCTCTAGTTAAATTCTGATCAGTTCTTATGCAAACATTATGTGAAGCTTAAAATTTGGGGAAAACTACTCCCCAAATAAGTATTGACTTTACATTCAGTGAATCTGATTTTGAAATAAGTGGAAGAGAAAAACAATGAAACAGTAAGCTGTTTCCCATTATAATCATCATTTCAAATTGGTTTCCTTTGAGCTTCCTATAAATGTGCTACTTATCAAAAAGTGTACCCATCCCACATTGAGTTTGCAGATTTAATCAACAACTACTCTCTTATAATCACAAAAAGTAGTCTGTCTGGGTGAATCATAAATATTTATTTAATGGCATAATAAAACTAAGCAAGCTTAGTTGCCCTCAGTTTTAATGGAAAAGAATTTTTGAAAGAATATTCCAAGTTCTGCTTGTTTTCGTAGGTTTGTGTATAAGACACCAAAACCAGTATGGGGTTTAATAAATTGAATTGCAACTGATCATTTCAGTGACAGAAAATCAGGCAAGCTGATTATGTGGTGATCTGTAAAACCCCCTCAAATAACCTCTAGTCATTTTCCTGAACTTTTCTCTTCTCAGTTTTACATCAGTGTCATATAGTATGTTGCTTGAGTGTAATAAAGCTTATCTAATTACTCTTTTAGCCTGATAAAAATGAGACTATAGATTTCAAAACTATGTGCTTACTTTTCAAAGGTGTAAATGAATTAATATTTGTCTTTGGACTAATAAATATTTCAAGAAAAGATGTTTTACAGCTTATTTTGTTAATTTCTTTGAATATGTCATTAAGGCAGATATCCCCACGGCCCATATATTTGATTACATGTTTATAATTACATTTTGCTTTTTCAGTTTCATCACAGCTGTAAAGTCAGACCCTACATGACTGCTACCCTGTTGCAAGTCTCACTAATGGCACAATCAGAAAAACCCAGAGTTGCTGATGGGCGTGAACCTCTCCAGTGATCTCGACTGTGGACTCCAGGTAAAAACTTCATAACGTGATGGTCATCGCTGCGAATCCAGCAAGAGCCTGCAAAGTCACTCATTGGAAAATTAAAATGTGACAACGATTTCTTTTTTAATGAACAACTTGTCAAATCTCTGGTGACATCCCCCTCTCAGTTCAAAATGTGATTTAGAAAATAAAAACCAGAAAGTGGAAAGGAAATCTTTTCATTAAGCAATTTCAGTAGCTAGATTTCCATCCAAGAATCTGAATACTGTTTTCCCAAATAAGAAACCAGATCACCTGTCTCTCTGTGTGTGCAGCTGGTTATCTTCTGTTCATTGATTTCTCCCAGCACACTTCATATTCCAGCTTTGTCACTGGCTTCTGGGAAGTTTTCTTAATTTTTAAGTCAACAGTGGCATTAAGTTAATGAAGCTGTTCAATAAATGCCTAAATCACTTATTTGCTAGTGTATACATCTATTTCCTAAGGTGTAAATCCTTCAAAACTAGAGTGCAATGCAGCAGGAGAATCTCAAGCAACTTTTCAAGTTATGCTTTTCTGATGAGCTGGCATCTAGAGGGTAGGGCTTTTAGGTATCGGCCACACTTTTTGTTTGAATAACAGGAACAGGGAGTGCAGCTGCCTATGTTACAGAAGCTTGAACCTACATGACATGCAACAGGGTAAAGGCTATTAGTATTAGGGAAATAACATACATGACCTTAAATTTTGCCCTTTGCAGAGTAGCTGTGAAGTTATTTGGTCCTGACATTCTATGGAGCCAAGCGTGTACTTAGGTTCATAGAATGTAAATGGAGAATAGGATATGTCTCGGTACAAATGAGAAATAAATAGACCCAAGTTGGCCCAGGGAACAAGGAAATTTCTTTGTTCATTGAAAGTTTCTAGATCCCTAAGGCCACCAGTCAGTATAATTTTAACAGAACTGTCAGTCTTCCACTGCTTACATTTATTATATTTAGGCAATTTTCACTTGAATTGGAAATTGCCTTGTGACTCGAAAGCTAAATGGTTTTTAAATTATCAGCTGTGTTATTGAATTAAGAGGACTGGCTTCTGGTGATTCCAAAGTGACAGCTAAGAAGTTTCATATATTTGTGACATTTGAGGGACAATCAACATCTCTATTAAAGTTTACAAAAATATGTTTTCCCAGAAGGTTTCAGTAGCCAATCAAAGGAAACCATTAACACAACTAGCAGCACCAGGTCTCCAGACCTGATTATTTGTTAATATCAATTACCAAAAATGCTGCTATTTTTCAGCCCAGAAGTCATTCCTTCTTCCTGGTACCTGCGTGTCTAATTGTCAAAGGAAGGATAGATTATTGTAAAATAACTGCCAAGTTGTCTTAAAAGTATCTTCTATCTTTTAAAAAGATTGGGTTTAGTATACATTAGAACAAAGCTCAAAGGGCAAGGAGAAATGATTAATTAACAAACTCAATGTAATTCGCTGGAAGCATCCCGGTTTTTCCAGTTCTCTGCACCGTGCCGTACATCCAGCCGTCGTCAATGGGCTGCACGTTGACGATGTAGTCACCATCTCTGAAGGAGACTTCATCTTCATCCTGGGCGCTGTAATCGTACATGGCTCGGTAGGTCCTCTGAGAAAGGAAAGATGGGGTCACACGATGGACACCAAGACAGTCGTGGCTACAAATGCCAACCGCGACAAACCAGCCCACACATAAAGGAACTACCAGGAACCCTTCCGAGCACATCTATTTCCGGAGCCCACTGTCTGTCCTGATTGTGTTCATTCCAAGGTTACTAGTCTGGCAAAAGGGGTAATATTGTGGACCAGAGCAAGCCACTAAATACAACAGCTAGCTGTCAAAAAGTAAGCTTTGAGCACTTGGAACTCTCTGCTCCATATTATCTGACAGCCTGGATAGAGGGTGGACAGTTTGGCGGGGTATGTATGACTGAATCCTTTTGCGGCTCACCAGAAACTATCACAACATTGTTTGTTAATTGGTTATACCCCAATACAAAATAAAAAGCTTTTTTAAAAAAGTAAGCTTTGAAGCAGTAAAGCCACTCCCTCAGTTTCAGATAAGCCCAGAGACCTTAGATTATGTAGATTCTCCCCTAGTCCACATTCTTCAGAGAACAAAACTCACCATAGTGGCAGACAGGCCCAAGTCACTGCCAAGTCATTACAACCATTGGTCCCCTGGCAGAGGTGATGATGAACTTTACTAAAAAAATTTGTTTCTACTTTAAAATATTTTTAAAAAATAAAAAGAAAAAAATCCATAATATGCTCAATAGGACTTTGTATCACGTGATAGGAGACATTTAGCATATGAATGTCTTGAATATTGAGGTACATATAATTAAATCCTTGTTATGAGTTGAGTTTTACTATATTTGTTTTCATTTGAGGCCAAGAATTTAGCTAATAATATCAGACAACCTCAAAATCAAGTGCATTAGTAGACTGAGGAAATTGACTGAGATGCAAGAATCTTAGAGTGATTAAAGATTCCTTACCACCCATTAAAGGGAATAAGTCATAGACATGTGACATATAGCACAGGGAAATAGTCAATAATATTATAATAATTCTGTATGGTACACAATCTATAAGAATACCAAATCACTATGTTGTATACCTGAAACTAATGTAAAAAAATGAATTTTTTTATGTAAAAAATGAACCATATTCAATCCAACTGTATTCCATGTGCTTTTATATTCTGGAGATAAACTGTGAAGACCAGGGAAGGAGGAGCACTTCAGTCGGGCACTTACTAGATTTGGTGAATGCTGCATTGACCTCACAGATGACAGGCTGGTCTGGTGCATGTACCCATAGCCTTGAGAATGGCTTTGCTGGTAGGCTCCAGGAAGAACAGGTGCTGGACATCAAACAGACACACACACACACAAAGAATCCTTAAAATGAGCCTCAGAGTACCCATCCCAAGCCCTCAAGTAACCCCATGCTCAGCTAGACAATTCTGGAGCAAAACGCCATTTTCAGTGTCGTGTGAAATGTGAGCAGTGACGTTATAAGTGACCTCTAGGGTACTATACATTTCAGTCATGAGGGAATATGTAGGTAATCAGTGTGACATGCAATCAAATACGTGTTAGAAATGCTTATAATGCTCTATTGCAGATGCTATATATTAAAACAACACAAATAGCAAAAACTCCCATAATCTCTTAAAAAATTCATGTTTTCACTTGGCTGTTTGATCCCTGTAGGCATTTTCAAAAATAAAAATAAGAAATTTAAAGGATTTTACAGCAAAGACTTACTGTATAGCATAGGGAACTATACTCTATAATAATCTAGAAAGGAAAAGAATCTGAAAAAGAAATAGACTTACATGTATATGTATAACTGAATCACTGTGATGTAAATTTGAAACTAACACAACATTGTAAATCAGCTATATGTCAATTAAAAAAAAAAGAAATTTAAAGGAATTTAATTGGATTGTCAGACCAGTGACAGGATATAAGTGTTTTCACAAAATATTGAATACTTAACAATAGACACTTTCAGTATTTTGAGACATACTGCTGAATGTTACCTTTACAAAGATGGTAGACATAGCATATGTTTAGAAACAAATGTTTGTTAAGCAGTTAATAATAAGTCTGTACCTTTTAAGGAAAATTTTATTTAGAATATATGGATCATATATATGAATCATATAAGAATCATTTTATTTTGGCTATAAGTCAGTTGAATAAAGTTACAAAACCTTAGGAACCAAACCACTTAAAGAATTTCATAAACATTAAACTTCTACATTAAAAAAAAGAGAGTATTCACTTAGTTTGTGCTAGTCTCACACTAATTAACGATATTCAAAAGACATAGTTCCTGTTTTGCAGAAAACAGAATTCTAGAGAAACTAATACAGAAGCTAGACAAAACCCCACAAAAATCAGTAGTGTGTATTTGTAACCAGAATCACGGGCTATACATGAAGGTATTTTAGTAGGCATTCCCTTCATCATAGGACTTGTATGATACAAGTCCTATAAAAACCCACAATAGATTGTCCTGTTTGTTCAATCAGGCTGAGTATATAACATAATTATAATGGTTGATTTACTTAGGACATTATAATAAAAGAATAAAGCAGATGCAATTCTTGGGTATTATGAATAATTACTATTTTATTAAGTGCACACTCATTCTAATGATATATGAGAACATCAAACTTTAAAGAAGTTTAATCATCAGAAAGTAACAAATCATTACTGTATTCTCCATATAATAGTGATATTAGGTTAAATGGAGATTTTTAAAGTAGTTCTTGAATTAATTCATATTATAATGTTGTAACTGCATTTATTTAATGTCTTTCTAGAGAAAGCACTTAACTTGGATTGCAGTATATTTTAAAGTTATTAAACATCAAATACTTCAGAAAACAGCACTTTTTAACATTATCAACTCAATTTAAATGTTTAATGTTAATAGACATCAAGGATGTTGTCAAAATTCACTCATGAAAAAAAAACAATTTCCATAAATACCTAGACCTAATTAATTAGCCAAGTAAAAAAGCTTTCCTTGTGTTGGAAGCAGAAAGCACTGACCACTCATTTATTTTCTCCCTTGACTATCAGCAAATATTTAAAAGACTTCATGTGTGCATACAGCTGACTCCCCTTCCTGTCACTTGGATGTGAACAGTTCTCACTGTCCACTACATTCAAAGCATGCAGGCATTAGAAGAGTGACAAAACCAGTTGTCTTCCTATAGCTGTGATGGTCTTGGACACTTATCCTTTGCCCAATTAAAGAAATGGCTCAGGATACTTACAGCATTTCCTTAAATACATATTAATCAGTGACTCCAACTGCATCCCCAGGCTAGCACTTCTGGACTGGGTTTTCATCCATTTAAACAAGTCATTTCTTCATTATTATCTTGATCTATATGTGAATACTTAAGATTAAATAAATAACCCTTTAAAATTAACTAAAATTAAAAATTAAACTCTCAATCCTTTGTCACACTATTTAACTATGACCTTTAAATTTTGATGTACAGAGTCAAGCACCATCATCTTAAAATACTTGGGGGAAAAAATCAAGAAACGACAATGATGAAAAAACTCTTAAATATGCTATCTGATAGGCTGTAACACATTTAAATTTACACAGGTTTAGCACCCATCAGTACTGACAACTCAAGAAATGTTGTTTAAAAGTATTCTCTAGATACAGAACCATAATTTGAAAAGATACATGTACTCCAGTGTTCACTGCAGCACTATTTACAATAGCCAAGATATGGAAGCCACCTAAATGCCGATCAACAGAGGAATGGACAAAGAAGATGTGGCACATGTATACAATGGGCTATCATCCAGCCATAAAGATGGAATTGTGCCACTCTCAGAGGTGTAGATGGATGAGAGACTGTCATAAAGAGTGATGTTCAGTCATAAAGAGAAAAACAAATATCATATATTAACATACAAATGAGGACTTTAGAAAGGTGGTACAGATGGATTTATTTCCAGAACAGAAACAGAGTCAAAGATGTAGAAAACAAACTTACAATTACCAAAGCCGGAAGGAGAGAAGACTAAATTAAGAGACCGGGATTAACACATATACACGATCACATATAAAACTGATAATAAAGACCTATTGTGTAGATCGGGAACTCTACTCGATATTCTTTAATAGTCTATATGAGAAAAGGTCTCAAATCTAAAAAAGAATGAATATATGCATAACTGATTTACTTTGTTGTACACCTAAAACTAACACAACATTGTAAGCCAACTATACTCCAATAAAAATTGTTTTAAAAAGTGTTCTCTAGTTTTGGCATTTAAAAATGAAGTAAATTTGCTGCTGCTGCTACTAAGTCACTTCAGTCGTGTCTGACTCTGTGCGACCCCTTAGACGGCAGCCCACCAGGCTCCCCCGTCCCTGGGATTCTCCAGGCAAGAACACTGGAGTGGGTTGCCATTTAGATTGTTTACTGTTGGGCCACCAGAGAAGCCCTTGTAAGACCCTGCTGCTGCTGCTAAGTCACTTCAATTGTGTCCAGCTCTGTGCGACCTCATAGACGGCAGCCCACCATCTCTGGGATTCTCCAGGCAAGAACACTGGAGTGGGTTGCCATTTCCTTCTCCAGTGCATGAAAGTGAAAAGTGAAAGTGAAGTCGCTCAGTGGTGTCCGACTCTTAGTGACCCATGGACTGCAGCCCACCAGGCTCCTCCATCCATGGGATTTTCCAGGTAAGAGTACTGGAGTGGGGTGCCACTGCCTTCTCCAGAAGTAAATTTATGCCTATTCAATTGTTCAAATCTGACCTCCAAAAGGAATCTGTAGCTACTGTGAAATACAGAGGGAGAAGAAAGTATTTATCCTAAACATGCACAGATTGGAAAGAACAGAAGAGTTTAGAATGAGAAATCTCAGAGTAAATACAAACTATCTTATCCTTATGGTCTCTTCTCACTCCTTTATTGATTATTTTCATCTCCCTCTCTGGCTATATTATTTAACACAAGTCCTTTTGGGGTTATCAAACTTGTTATCTACCTTATACTTGGTACAATAAAAGATTTTTTAGGAAGATCCTATTAGGACTATAAAAATATAACTGAGAGCTCAGAGGAATCAACTTACTAAAAGCAAATGCCTATTTAAAAGCAGGCACAAACAATGCTTTTTTATTGTTTTGCTACATGAATGTTTTTTATGAAACATAGGAGGAACAAGCAAAAGGAAATTTCAAGCAGTTGCTCTGGAAATTGGGTTTATTCCTTAATAAAATTTGAGCAAAAGATGAGTATGAGATATTGTTCATGAAAATAAGGAATTCAATCAGTTTCGCAAAAAGATATTAGGCTAATTTTGCAATGAACAAGAATTTCTTAAGAAAGAGAAGAGCACACAGTGCCTTCCTTATTACACTAGTGGTCAGTCCCCATGCACATTGGTACAGATGATGGTAAAGACTCTTGATGCTTGACCTCAAGAGTTTTGAGGTTAAGCAGTTTCTATTTCAAAATAATAAAGGCCCCAAAACAACAGCTTTCATTATATTAAGGCAACCACAAAACATGAAAGTGTGACTCAGCTTCCATTTCACATTGATAAACCAGAGATTGACCAGAGATCTGGAAGCTGACGAAAGCTCTGCAGATTTGGGGCCCTATTTGAATGTCCTGTAATATTTATAAGGGTTTCCCAGGTGGCACTAGTGGTAAAGAACACACCTGCCAATCAAGAGACATAAGAGAGATCGGGAGGGTCCCCTAAGGAGGACGTGACAATCTACTCCAGTGTTCTTGTCTGGGAAATTCCATGAACAGAGGGGCCTGGAGGACAACAGTCCATGGGGTTGCAAAGAGTCAGACAAGACTGAAGCAAATTAGCATGAATGCGTGCATAGTATTTATAAAATCGAAATTTCTCTTCTAGTGCCCAATAAATTCTTCCATAAACAGCCAATACTAATATTTTCTATGTAATGTCTAGTCTTACAGTGGAAGGAAAGAAAATCAAGGTAAAGAAGTAGGAAGATCATAAAACAGAAGGTGAAAATGTATGAAGAAAAATCTTCAGAAATCTGAAACTAGAAAAATAAGGAAATACATGCAAACACATGAAGATTAGAGTAAATGAACCCAAAAAATTTAATGAAGAAAAAGTAGAATTACCTCAATTAGCAGTAGAAAAAGCACACCCAAAAATGTCCCATCTGGGGTAGGTACCCAGAGCAAGCAGCAGAAGAAAAGGATTATTATGGAGGTACCCTCCATGTGCCTGGTGCTTTATATATTGCCCCTTAGCAAAACAGAACATCCCTCTATTACAGGTGTCATTGCATTTCCACTTGATAGAATAAAAATCCAGAGGCT